TCCCGGAGCTGTACTTCCAGAAAGTCAAGAGGGATGAGATGGGCGCCCGTATCACATACGCCACCCTTTACGGCATATTCTTCACGGCCGCCTACGCTCTCAAGTATGACATTCACTCGCATGTGTGTCACTCATTTGGTCCAATGTAGTGATTATCATATGATATATTCAATGAATTGTTGTTTTTTTAATCAATTGTTTTGTGACCAAAATGTGTGGTTTTCCTAATTGTATATTATTTTGTAACCATTTATTAATTGTATTTATTTTGCTAACAGTTTCACTCGCATTGCTATCTGTCTATCGATACTTCACTACTCAGTGGAAGCGCTCTTTCATTTGTCACGACTTTTATATTTTGCCGACAAATTGCAAATTGTTAACTATAGGTACAGTCAGACATTGATCCAGATTGTGATCACAAGCTCTTCATTATGATTAAACAAATGAATTTTGTGTATAGTTTTAAACTGTGGAACGTATTGTTCGTTTTGGTGCGGTTGGGATCCATCACACTATCGGTGCTGACCTTCTGGTATGGATTAGCCACACATCAAACCACACAATTCAATGTCGCCGAAGGAAACTTCAACACTCAGATCATTAGGTATTCTCTATGACAACGAGTCGTCTTTTCACAGACAATCAAATGCTATTTATAAGTAAAGCACTGGTAATCTCAATAAATGCCTCAAATATCAATTGAAAACTGTTTTTGAGTTTAATCGCAAACAATATTAGCGGCACTACTAGCGAATCAATTGAGTTCATATCAGTATTTATTGAGATTATACTGTAGTATAGTATTTGTGATGATAGCAAATGTATGAATTGAATAGCGGACTAATGTGTGTCTGATGTGTGTGTCTATGTCTATGTCTATGTTAGGATCAACTGTTTGGCGGCCGTATGTCTGTTGGAGGCCTGGATGATGTGGAACTTCATTAACTTCCATTTGCGACGAATGCGCGAAAAGGCCGCCGAAGCGGCCGCTCTCCGCAAGAAGAGCGCCGGCGGTGTCCGCAAGAAACCCAAGAAGACCGAGAAGGAAGACGTGAGCGAATTGCCTGAAGTGGACCAGAACACCAACAAAGGGCTCATCCATCGGCCCAATAAGGCGTCGCCTAAAGTCAAATAAACCCTT